AATATAATTGAGATATAATTGAGGTTGTAAATAAAAAAAGTTGTAAATGTATCCCTCTGCTTGGTTTAAAATATTAATGTCATCATCTTTACACTTGAAGCCCACGATAATAAGCCGGAAGCCTAGCTTCTTATTTCAAGACAATAAACCCGGCCCAAGTACTAACGCAGGTCCCGTTTCAAACATTGTCGAATCAGATCTTTGAGGTATCTACATATTGAATTTGGCTACTCTAATAGAGTGTAACTAAGAAAATAAAATATTAATAAAAAATAAAAAACAAAATATGGATTTATAATTGTACTGAATAGAAAATTAATGATTGAGCTGTGATAAAATACATTTACATGTATAACAAAATTAAAAGACGCTTTTTAAAACTCATACCCCACTAGTGATCTTTGTTGGGCCTAAAGATATATAAAATATGGGCTCCTCTGATAATTTGATGAAGACCATCAGGCCTTAACCAGGAAGAGCCGATCAGTATTGGATGACATTTATAGGTTTATTTATTTCTCACTTGAACATTTTTGGTCCCATGAGATCTGAGTTTTTATTTTCTTGGAGATAGGAGATCGTAAAGATCAATAAATAAAAAGCGATACTGTTAAAAGATTACCAAATTAATTTCCATGAAAACAGAGAAACATGATGGAGAACGATTATTTGGAAAGGAGAACGATTACTAATAAGGCTGGGGAATTCGCAGAGAAAATATTAGATTTAATAAATAGCTCGATTCTACTCAAAAGAAAAGAAAAAAGAATAGTTTGTTAGAGAATAATATAAATCATTAAAAAGACCATAACCTAACACCTTAATATTTTGGGTTGAAGTAATTCTTTACAAGGTATGTTGTATCTTATATTCGTACATCAAACAAAAGTACATTCTAAGTAATTAATAATGTGGGACGCCTAAAACAGCGATTGGCCTGGCGCGGATTGCCACAAGCTGAAGAGAAACCTTCTATTCCATGTCATGTTATTTACATATTTTACACATTACTATGAAACGAAAACCTATTCAAACCCTAGGGTAGCTCAATCGGCAAAGTTAAGCGCCCATGGTTCGATTCTTGGTCCAAGCATTTCTAGAATCCTGTTGGGGTCAGAGGAAAAAGGTTTTTTTTCGATGGGAGATTAGTTTTATCCTTTCTCTGGTAGCATAACCTAACGCACTCATCATTCCAATGAAAAGGTAGCTTTGGAGCCGTATTCCAATAATAAGATGGTCAATCAAAGATACCATGATTCTACCAAAAAACAAAAACCTATTCAAAGATATTCATAAAAATAAAAAATGCTTTTGTAAAGAACCTTGGGATACACCACCCCAAAAGCTAGCTCAAAGGGTGGGAGTGTCCAAGGTCTTATAAATGCCACATTAGTTGCTCACACAATTAATGTGGGACTATATATCTCAACACGCCCCCTCACGCAAGAGCCATTTGGGCTAGAAGCGTGGAATGAATTACACATGCCCAATTTTTGGTTTACCTTTTTGTGTTTTTTGTTTTAATTCCACTTGAAAGTGGGGGGCCGCGAGGATCGAACTTGTGACCTTATAGTCACTCAAGCTCTGATACCATGTAAAGAACCTTGAGATGCACCACCCCAAAAGCTAGCTCAAAGGGTGAGAGTGTCTAAGGCCTTATAAAGGCCACATTAGTTGCACATCTAACCAATGTGGGACTGTATATGTCAGCACGCCCCCTCGCGCAAGAGCCCTTTGGGCTAGAAGCGTTGAATTGCACAGGCCCAATTTTCGGTTTACCTTTTGTGCTTTTTTTTTTTTAATTCCACTTTAAAGCGGGGGACGGTTAGGGCTCAAGCTCTGATACCATGTAAAGAACCTTGGATACACCACTCCAAAAGCTAGCTCAAGGGGTGGGAGTGCCTAAGGCCTTATAAACCTCACATTAGTTGCACATACAACCAATGTGGGACTATATTTCTCAACACGCCCCCTTACACGAGAGTCCACTGGGCTTGAAGGGTGGACAACATAGAAGCCCATCTACATGTGGAAATTCCATTACAAAGAAAGTGGGAGGCAATGAGATTTCGAATGTTCTGATACCATGTTAAGAACCTTGAGGTCACCACCCCAAAAGCTAGCTCTTATTGGTGATTATATATCTCAACACGCCCCCTCACGCAAGAGCCCTTTGGGCTAGAAGCGTGGAATTGCACAGGCCCAATTTTTGGTTTACCTTTTTGTACTTTTTATTTTAATTCCACTTGAATGTGGGGGGCCGTAGCAACCAAATGATCATAAAATGAAATAGCAGAATAGTCATTAACATCTCATTAGTGAATTTTATTGTTGTTAAAACATTAAAAGTCATCTTTTCTTCATTGACCCTCATGGTCAATTCTCCTATTTCAACATCAATTGTAGCATCCTCCATAGCTAAGAATGGCCTATCCAATATAATAGGCACATCCTTGTTAGTTTCAAAATCAACTATCATGAAATTTGCTGGAATTAAAGAAGAACCTGGATTTTCCAGCCTTGATGGAAAATTGTTGGAGAGATAGTGCTCTTGTTGCTGCTTTTGGAGACCTTGACGAAATAGGAGCAATCTTGCCCTTGATAAAGGTTGAGGAATTTCAATGTTGTGCATAGGCTTGTCTGATTGCTTTCTTCTTTTTCTTCTTCTTGATGTGAAACTTGAATGGTTGATGGTTCGGTTGAAGTATCGAACTTGTGATCTTATAGTCACTCAAGCTCTGATATCATGTAAAGAACCTTGGGATACACCACCGCAAAAGCTAGCTCAAAGGGTGAGAGTGTCTAAGGCCTTATAAATGTCACATTAGTTGTCCACACAATTAATGTGGGACTATATATCTCAACAACTTTATCTTTGACTGGTTCGTCTTCCCTATCCTTTCTCTTGAGTTTTCCGGGGGATTTATAATGATGCAAAATGCCTTCAACGTATACATGCTCAGTCAACACCGCGTATCAGAACCAAGACAAGGAAAAAAAGAAGACAACAACCTCAAGCTCACGACTCTCTACAGTTACACTGTAATATTAAAAACCACAAGTTTTTGGCCAACCGAGAACTAATCGAGCCATAAATGCTCTATAGATGTTGCTCGACATATCGAGAAAATACTTCAATGTATCTGCAAGCATGTTGTGATTGTGATTCATATTTATGTTGTGTCGAGTCACACCACATCATTCGATACTGAATTTTCGATATTCAAGGACAACGTTCTAGATTCAACCATGAACAATGTAGAGAAATTTAAGAAAAAATTTATGATGGCACCAGCCATGACTATTTTAATAATTTGAACTATTGAAATTAATTTAATTGCCAAACATTTAATTTTTTTAATATAGAAAATTGATCTAAGAAACTTTTAAATGTTAATTAATAAATGAGTGAAAACTGAATTAGAGTATGAAGATAGAGTTGTATTCCCAAAAGGTGAAATCTGTTGATCTGACGTAGATGTGAAAGGCCGTTGTATGAACCAGAGCTTCAAGGTATCATCGTGTCATGCTAACCTCAATCTAGATGATGATGCGAAGGGGGAGATGTACAAGGGCTATAGTTATGACTTTTGCCGCAATAATCCATCAAGATACAAGAATTATGGGAGTTTTATGAGTCGTTTCTATCCATCCACGCTCCGGGGAGATTGGGGCAAGGGGAGAAATGTCCTCAAATATTCGCTGATAAGGTTTTTTTTTTCATGGGAATGTTTCAAGACATTTCTCCAATTACTCTCCATTGATATTACTCTGCTGAATCATCTCCTTGTATAACTGTAACCCTTACGTACCTCCCCCTTCACACTCTCAGGTAGACTGAGGGTAGTATGGTGATATCTCAAAGTTTTGGTCCATACCACTATCTTTTATATCTTCCGATCAATATACTTCACCCGAGATACAGATCATAAACATGCACACACTATAATCAAATAGGTGAATAGATAAGGGAAAACTTTAATTTCATGTAATTGCATTTGCTTGTAAATAACTTTTCAACTGAATTTACTACCACCTTTAATTAAATATTAGTTAATTATACTTAATAAACTTTCAAGCATTTAAGATAAAACTATTGATCAAAGAATGTTTTATAAGTTACCAACAAAGCTCAGCACAGTTGGTAGATAGCTGGGTTCCTTAAACACCGTAACACCTTAAACACCCTAACAGAGGTTCGATCTCTGGCCGTGCGTATGGAAAAGATTTTGTTGGGAGAGGTTTATCCACTTAATGTGATCTCCCGCCTCGAAAGAAGTAGTTCGGCTGGAGAATACCTTGAGAAACCAAAAAACCAAAAAAAAAGAAAGAAAGAATGTTTTATAAGTCATTATTGGCGGATGCCCTTAAGGTACCATAACTCCCTTGAATTATATAGATCACAAGTTCGACGCTTCGCCTATGGATCTTTATCTGATTTCATTATTATTAAATATTTGTTACAAAAGGAATGTAGGCTCTTTAAATGGCGAAAAAGGAAAACAATAAGAATTACTAAATTTGGAAGTAAAAATAGTAAAAGATTAAGACAGCATTGTAACCGAAAAAAAAATAAAAAAGATTACGACAGCAAAATTTCTGTATTTGCTAAAATGTTAACGGTACAAATATGGTTGAAGACGACACCTGTAACCACTATGTCGTAACTCGTAAGCCTAGAATAGACTGAATAGTGACTAGTGTCCAAATGCAAAGCATTGGTCCTCCGGATTCCCTTCTCAATTGTTCAAAGTAGAGCAGCAAACACAAATAACAATAATAACAATAATTCCATTAACAAACAATATTTACTTCCCTTTTTTGGTGAAGAGGACGTGTGAATGTAAAGAATGGTTTCCCCATTTAACCAAGGCCCATGCTTGCAATACTTCAAACTCAATCATATCATAGCAAACAGTCAAACACCCCATTAGGTTGTGATTTCCAAATGTGTAGTGAGGAATCCAATTTAATGGTTCAGAAAGCTTCGTTATCCAGAGTTACTCAGACTCCCAATGTGAGTTAACTAACGGTTTTTCAAGCATTTTCCTCTCCAACTTACTTGTAGTGACCAACTTGGACATTGCCGAATGAATTGGATCATTATTATTGTTATTCTCACTGCCATTATGTAAAATTAGAGGACCTTGCAAAACCCCCATAGACTTGGACTTGTTCAGCCTCATCACTCCCATTTTTGCCTTTCTTCTCTCAAACCCATACCCAGTTTGTTGCGGGTGCCCACCCAGATCCGGATTCAAATCCAACCGCATTTTAATCTCACTCCCTCTCACAGACACAAAACCAGGACCAATGGATTTGGACCTCACCACTTTATTGGAGATGGGTTCACTGTCATTCCCTACACCTGGCACACTGGATACTTTCCTGTTCCTTCTGCTCCCACCCTTCACTAACCTCACAACTTCCTCACTACTCCTATCGCAATCACAATCATACTCTTCCCACCTCACGCTCTCCACACGCGCCACGCGCCGCCTCAGACTGTTCCATATCCGCGATGCGTGAATCCTCTTCCTCAATAGTTTAAGACACTCCACCACTTCCGCCATCGAAGGCCGCTTCTCCGCCGTCGATCTCACGCATCTCACCGCCAGCACAGCCAGCTGCCGAATCAACGCCGGATCCGACGGAGTTCCAATCCGCCGGTCACAGATTCCGGCGAAGTCACCGCGCTTGATGAGCGGCACCGCCCAGTCCACCACCGAGGGCGGACTGTAATTAACATCGATGGCGTTCCTGCCGCTGATTATCTCCAACAACAAGATCCCAAAACTGAAGACGTCGCTCTTAGCGCTCAGATCCTCCGGCGCAAGATAGCAGGGGTCGAGGTACCCTAACGTCCCCGCGGGTGGCGTGCACTTGACGCGAACATCCTCCACGTGTCCCCTGAGCGCGAGGCCGAAGTCACCGAGCCTGGCGCTCCAGTTCTCATCGATTAAAACGTTGGAGGACTTAATGTCTCGGTGAATCACGGGTGGGTTCGAGGAGTGCAGGGCCTGAACCGCTTTCGCCACGTGGAGAGCGAACCGGAGTCGGCGGGTCCAACCGGGCGGTCGAGTAGCCGAATGCAATAGATCGTGGAGCGAACCGTTTGGCATGTACTCGACGACAATTAATTTGTTGCCGTTTGGGTCTGTGCAGAAACCGATGAGGTTAACGAGGCGAGGGCTTGGTACATGGGATAGAATCTCGATCTCGTTCTCTGCGGGGCTGGTACAGTTACCGCAACCGGTGCAGTTGGTGGCGTGGTTCCGTGAGCTTGTAGGCTTGGAAGATAGCTTTGTTGTTTTGACGGCGACGACGAGGTTGCCACCGTCCAGGGTGGCTCTGTAGACCCTGCCGTGGCTGCCTTTGCCTAAGAAACTATCGGCGGAGAAACCGTTTGTGGCGGCGACGAGATCCCTGTAGTGAAACTTCCTGAGAGTGTGTTTGCGGGTTATTGTTTTTTTCTTGAGATCCCAACAGTGGGGATCACATGTTTTAATGGCAGACTCAGCATTGCAAGAGAGATAACCCATGAATATGATTTTGTTCAGCGAGAGAGAGTTAAGAGGTTGGGGAATGAAAATGAAAATGAAAATGAAAAAGAGAAGCGGAGGAATCAAAGAAAGTAAAAGAAAGATTGAAATGAAAAGCGAAAAAGAAAAGAGAAGGGGATGGTGGTGGGAAGGCGGCAAAACCCATAACTGAAGAAAAAGGTGTGTTGGTTCTAACTTTAATGTTTAAAGTGGTATATGATTCGCAGCTTTTAGAGGAGGAGAGGATGTGAATGCAAATCCAAGCTTGAACGCACAATTCTTTTATGTTTGTTTTTCCTTTTTCTCCGGTGTGCTTTCTAATAATTTATTGTTTCCTGCATGCAAAGTCGTGCACCGAACGGACTCAGAGTTTGCCCAAAAAACTATAAGGATGCAGTTGTTAATCTTTTGTTTTTTGTTTTTAAAAAAATAATCTAGTTAACAAATACCGGATATATATATATATATATATATATATATATATATATATATATGAGAAAAACTACTCTCATGTTATATGAGACAAATTTTCTCTCATACACACTTTTCGATAATTGTGCTATCTTTTTTTTCTTTTCTATTTTCAGGTGTGGAGCCCACTAGTTTGTCTCTATGACATGAGATAACTATCTCCTTTAACATGAGATTAATAAAATACTATATATATATATATATATATATATATATATATATATATGGGAAAAAGTGAGATAAATTTATGTCATTTTAAGAGAGATAGACACAGAATAAATTTTTTATTTAAATTTTAAACTAAAAAAAATCACTCACTTTCTCTCTCCCATGATTTTTATTTTCTGTGTCTATCTCTCTCTTAAAATAACATAACTTATGTCATTTAAAATGACAAACACCAAGTCTATATATATATATATATATATATATATATATGAGTTTTGCATTTATCATTTAACATGACCACACAAAGTTTCCTACACACACAATATTCGTGGGACCCGGATGTTTTGAAGAAAAAAAAAACAAAAAAAACGACGGCATGCAAAACGAATCTCTATAGCATAATAAAATCATTTTTCCTACAATACAACTCTTATAAAATCATATATATATATATATATATATATATATATATATATATATATATATATCAAAAAACCGTCCAACTTCAATACGGGGGCATGACTTTTCTATAGGGAAAAATAAGTTTTCATTATTCAGTTAGACTCCAGCTAAAGCTTCATTTTTCAATCAAACGAGGTTGGCACTAAGATTTGGACTTATAAATTTATGCAAATTATCAAAACCTTTCATTTCTAGATCAATCCTAGCAACTTTGATAATAGATCATCCGAATATAATTTTACAAACCACAAATTGCATCTTAGTGATTTACCTTGTCATGAAGATTGGTGGGTACCTACCCGTCTTTGATTATTTGAAATCGAATTTCCAATGTTGAAATCGCTAGATGACGTGTTTCTTTTCCTTATATCTAAAGAAAATAAAAAATCACGAAATGATAAGATTATTATTATTAAGAAAAACAAAAAACACATGATAGTCTGTGTAGGGACATGAGGACGTCTGAATCAATTAATCTTTTTCTTTCTTGCATGGGTAAAGTCTTACATTAGGATATATGCTAATGCTACATCTTAATACGACAGAGTCTGATAATTGATTAATGATAGCCGAACACTGAATTGGCCACTACAACTAAATATCTAAAAAGGCCAAACCTGTGGGATGCATTCTCTTTTTTTATTTTTAGAATGATGAGAAAATTATTGACTTGTTTATCATTATAATTTTGCAATCTTCTTATTGTTTCACAAATCTCACCCATTCAGCGCTGCGTCCACTTCAAATAATAATCAACAATTCTCCAACTATACAAAGTTGTAGGGAGAGAACCGTTATTTTTCCATTGTGTAATGTTCTTTGCTTATTGTTTTTTTACTATACCATTCTTGTATAATATTGTATAAAATAAAACAAACACGTTTTCTCTTTATTTATTTATTAAAACAGATGTATAAAGATTGATGTAAAGAAAATAGTGTGAAAGAATAATTTTTTTTTCTTAGTACAATTGAATTTTCGACAAACAAAAGAATTGCAATACGAGAAGAAAGCTAAGAGAGACCATATAATGACATCAAAGTAAATCAAATTTGTATCCCAAAAAAAAAAAATCACAGTAAATCAATTAACTAAGGAAATCCTGTCTTCATTTTTTATTGGGATAAAAAAGTGCATGGTTATGGTGAAATCTCTATAAATAGAGGTGATAAAGGGCGGGCCAGAGTCATTGTCCCTCCCTAAATTTTTATTTTTTATTTTTATATAAAATAATATTTTTATCATAATAATAGACTTTTAGTATTAATAATTAGTCTCTCCATAAAAAAATACTTGTAATAATGAACCTCCATTATTAATCTTAGTAACACTTGTAATTTTGATATTTTATATTTATCCCATTATAAAAAAATTATAGATCCGTCACTAGGTGATAATTAGGATTGATATGACATGATATAATTCAATACGAATTTAACAAGAATAAAAATATACTTAACACAAATATGATATGAATTTAAAAATGAGTCAAAACTTTCGATATAAACACAATTCACTTATTTTACACGTTGACACGCATAATAACATTCAAATAATTTCTATACTAAATATTGCTTGTGTCAATGTCATGTTGACATGGTACAATATAATGCACTACAACACAAATAACATATAAGAAGATTTGTGTATACATGTCGACACAAAACAGAATTTATATGGATTTTTTATTGTCAACTTTTACTGACACAACCAATACACGAATTTGAAAACATATCAATTTGAATACAAATTTCATATGTTATTTTTGTATCGTATTATATTGGAAATTGTACCCCTAACTACAAAAATCAAAGAACGTCTCTAAACAGATAAATAAATATTGTTTTTAATCAACTAGATTGTATGCGTGTATTCGAGTATTTTGAATTCATGTTAAATTTTAAAAATATAAATTAATAAATATTAAAAAATTATAGTTAATTAAAGTTTAAGAAATTATAGATCAAAAGAGAACAAAATTAAAAATTAAAAAACATGTACATAATTAATTCAAAATAAATTGAGCTTAAAATTTAAAAGAAAAACAGTTAAAAATTACATGTACTATTCTTTAAGAAAAAATAGACTAAAAAATTAAATCACTCTTTCAATAGTTGACTCTAATTCATTTAATATACTAACAAGTATTATGTTCATAACACGAGTATTAAAAAAATTAATAAAAAATCACCTCACTGGCTAGAAATTGTATTGTATTATAGATAGTAAATAAGTGATTAAAATAAAGCAGGCTTGCTTACCAAAATAAATAAATAAATAAAATAGGCTCGACACCATGACGGCCATGTTTCAAATCATTCTTTTTTAATGATAGTGCCACAAAGTGAGTATGGACAGATAACACAAAAACAGTGACGTGCTTGGGCAGCATTTGTTTGGCTTAAACAACACTATGAAACGTGGGGCGATAATCTGTTGCTGTTTTTTTATACAAAAAAGAAAAAGAAAAAGAATCTGTTGTTGCTTTTGTTTGTAAGTTTAGGAAATGGGAAATGGAGCTTTCTATCAGGGTTTTTTTATTTTATTTCATTTTAACCGGGTGAGCGCACTTATGAAAGACAAGAAAAGTAAGTTATTATTATTAGCTGTATGTTATTTTATCTATTTTTATGTCTATTTTATCTACCAATTTCTAATATCGTTAGATCAGTATTGGAGATTGATTGGTAAAGTAGACGTAAAAAAATAAAAATAGAATAACTTATCCCTTGTACATAGAGGAAAGTAGCTATTTGTCATTTGAACCCTTAATTTTTAGTAACTTGAAGTTACTTTTTGGCAAACGTCTTTTTGAAGTGCATTCAATAGCGAGATGTGAAGAAAATGTAATAGAAACATACACAAGTCATTTCGGATCTCTAAAAAATTAAACTGCAATAAGTTGGACTTTTGCTCTCCCAACCCAATTCCTGTGCATCATGCCAAGGGCAATCGGGAAATGCTTGAACATACAAGGAGGGTTAGGTGCAATAATTTTATTGAAGCAATCTGAGGCCGTCAACATATCTATATATGTGGGACCGTGACATTGAAGAACAGAGGAATTGAGTATCACGGGCTTTGAAATCTGGTTTCTGACCTCAATGTAATTGTTAACCAATTCAATTTTAATCCCGTTCAAAATCTATCTGTTAAACATGTCAAATATGCGGGGATTATATTCAAATTCGTAATAGTCACTTTTGACTTTTGTTCCCCCAAAGCCCACCACAATAGAATTATGAAAATGCCGCCAAATTATGTTCATATACTTTCATATAAATGATGGGGTAATAATACCATAGTGGGTGGAAGCTTCTGGAAATATAATAAAGAATAATAATAGTAGTACACTACGCGGGACCTACAAGGTTCTACTATTCGAACTCTATTTGGTGTTCATCCTTTCCCGAGTATCTCGTACCTTGGTGAAGCTAAGGCGTGTTTGATAACAGGGAAAAAAAAAAATTCAGGAGAGTGAGGTGGAGTAAATAAATTGGCCATGTTTGATAGGCTGGAAACCGAAAAAGGGGTGAGGAATTTTTTTTTGCTGATTTTATGTTTTACACATGATTTGTGAACCAAATTTTGCCAGAGAAGGTGTGGTAAAAAAAAAATTCAACGGGGTGGGAATTTAACCTAATTTTGTGAGACTAAAATATCCATGCACTTATGAGTGGTGTGAACAAAATAGAAGTGGCGTGAATCACAACTTGTAGACTGAAACACCATTTTTGCTCGTCGTCGTCTTCGTCTTCACAATGTGAGATCAAGAGAAAAGACTGGCACCTTCAAGCAAATAGGACACTAGTTCCCTTTCACAAACAATCTTCCACAAGCATCACAGCAAGTGTATCCCATAAATCACATAAATTTTTGTTAAAAAAATGGTAAGTCCGCCCCTCAATTAAAATATGCTTAATCTGCAAAGCAGAGGAGGAATTAATTGCCAGTGCCATGAAAAGAATAAACACAGAGAAGATTTTAAACTACTTTAAGTA